TAAATGTAACTTCTAGAACATACAAAAATTAAGTGGTTCTCATCATATCTAATTTATAAGAATAGTAACTTTCCAAGAAAGAGAGTAAAAAGAACCTTCTCACAGCTGCTGCTTCACACCTCCCAGTGCACCAACAGGCACATCACTGCAGCAGAACTAGAACCTGACACAGTCTGACTTCTTCAAGTACTTTTGCATAGTTTTACTTTTTTAATGTTCATAGTGAAGTTAAAAATAATGCCAATCTTTACCTGATGCATGGATGCTGATGTTAAAAAAATTAACAAATATATGTTTGGAAATACTTTTCAATTATAAATAATTAAACACTTGAAAAATTATTTAAAACTCAAATGCACCAAGAAGCATCAGAGCATGCCAAAAAGGAAATTCACATTCTTTTCACCATCAGATTAAATTACTCTGAAAGCATTTTACAAGGATATCTAAAAGTTTTCTTTCCAACCCTGCATTCTTTGCATTTGTTTTTTTCTGAACCACTGGGCATTTACGCTATTTATACATTTCTGAAGGGTGTAGAAAAAAAATGAGCATGAGAAACGCCTGTAGACCTCTCCCTAAATTATATCTGCTTTCTTATAAATGTGAGAAAACGCTTTCTTTGTGTCAAAATTCACTTCTCGTCCTGCCCCTTTAAAAAAAAATAATTCTAAGAAAGATGAACCAAGTTATGCAGCTACAGCCCCAAAATTCTTAATGCAAACACTCAATTCTGTTTTCATCTCTCAGATTAAATCACCCAGAAGCAACTAATCCAGTGTGCCAAGTATCAAGCTACATTTCACTGGAACGAGAAAAAAAATGCAACTTAAAAACAGCTCAGTGTTTTGAGTTTCCACGTTTAAAAGTCTAACAAATGACTAAGAATTAAAAAAAAAAAAAAAAAGTGATTCAATCTACTGTTGACAGAATCTTTCTTGTCAGCTTTGTCAGAGAAAGCCCTACAGACTGGACCACAGAGAGTGACGTCCTGTGGAATCACTGACTGGGAGGTTTTGCACCATCCCCACCAAAATGGAACGCATGTGCTACAAACACGCAGATTATTCCATACAGATCAGTTTTCCATGGGCTTGGTCTAAAGAAAGAGAAGTTACATCTACCCTAGAACCACAAATGAATGCATCCAGCCACTCAAAAATTCGGGTTCATTTGCATTCTCATTTCCTATGCCCACTGAAATGTTCAGTGTGGTGCTTCCCCTCTGCACCTTTATTTTATCTTTAAAGCAGCAGGTCTTAAGCCCTCCTGTGGCTTCTGTGCTGTTTTACTGACTTCCAGAAAACAGACTTTCCAACATAAAAGTGCAAGTTCAATGACTCTCAGGCCCAGGACACCCTCAGTGCTCCAGACTTTGTTCAGCACCGAGGAATGGAAAGTAACCTGGACTCTTAATTTCCATTTATTGCCCAAAAACGTTTCAAGAGCCTGTTTAGAGGAGTTTAGGCCCCATCGGTATTTCCTACAAAGGACAGTGACCTACACACTGCACCTTAACAGTCTGTTTTGCTGTATAACTTGCAGGATTCCCAAATTATTATTTCTAAAAATCAGAATTTCTATCTGTGAAGACAATTTCAGACACATAAGGAAAACCTATGAGAACTAAACAAGCTTCGTAAAAATTGCCATTGAAGATGCTGAAGTGGTTTCCTCAGGAAAAGCTACAGAAAATATTTGCCTTGATTTTTTTCAAGATGCTCACTGGAGTCACTGTTCCATAAACTTCCAAGTGCTTTGCACTTCCAGGGGCGATCACCCCTTGTTGGGGGGTTTATTGTGGAGAAGGGGGGTTGAACCAAGGGAGAGGGGAGGTATCCTGAGGGGTCTGTGGCTGAGAACCAAACCACAGGCCCCACAGAAATCTTTATCCAAGAGTTATGTTAGCACAGCATCCCACAGCCACTGTAAAAACCAGGAATGGGAATTTATCCATGAAACTTCCTTAAAAAATGGAAAAAAAAAAAAAAAAAAGAAACCTAAGAGGGGGTAAAAGCCGGAGAGGGAGGGAAAACCCTCGAAAGCCCAAACAATGAGAGCAGAGCAGGTGACTAAAGATGACAGAGAGAGCCCGCGGTCAGGGAGATCTGGCAGGGAGCGCCGAGGGATCTCCAGGAAAGTTTCCATCCTCCCACGGGGAGCGGGAGATGGGCCGATAGCGGCATCTCCGCCGGCTCCCCGGAGCACGAACGGGGCAGGGCAGGTCGGCACCTCCCGGGGCGGCACCGGCGACCCCCCTGCGGGCCCGCCCGGCACCGCCGAGGCCCGACCCCTCCCCGGCCGGGGGAGCACCGGGGGCGCGGGGGGGGGCGACCCTCCTCCCGGTGCCACCATCGGGAAACAGGGCTGCAAGACACGGGGGGAGGGGGGCGGTTCCCCCCCAAGCGGGAGGGCCCGGCCCGGCCCGGGCGGAGCGAGCGGCACCGACGGCCCAGGGGGGCGGCACGGGGGGCACCCCCGGGGAGGCACCGCCGACCGCCACGACCCTCCGCGAGGCGCGGGGCCCGGCCGAGGCCCAGGAAGCAGCGGCAGCCGCGGGCGGGCCGGGCCGCGGGCCGGGGGGTTGCGGGCGGGCCGGGGGCGCCGCGCCTGCCCCGGGCGCGCGGCACGGCGGCGGCAGCGGCGGGGCGGGCGGGCTGGCGGTGTGTCGGTCGGTCGGTCACTCACCCGTGCGGCGGGCGCGGCGCGGGCGGAGGCGCCGCTCGGCTCAGCCGTGCCCGCGGGGGGGTCGCTCAGGGCCGCTCACCCGCCGGGACCGGCGCCTTCATTCGGGGCTCGGGACGCGCCGCCGCCGAGCGCACGCACGCACGCACGGCACGCACGGGCGGACGCACGCACGCACGCAAGCGCGGCGCGCGCGGGCCGGGGCGGCGCCGGATTGGCGGGGAGCGTGGCCGGGGCGCTGCGGGCGGCCCGCTGTGTGCGCACGCGCGCGCCTTTCCCGCTCCCGGTTTCCCACTCCGCTCCCGCCGCTTCTGCGCCAAGCCAGGAAACGGAAGCTGGGGGGGGTGTGGTGTGCTGTGGCGAGCGGCGGCTCTACGCGTGCGCGACCGGCTCAGCGCCGCCGCCGCTTCTCCGCCAGCCCCGGGCGCCCCCTCTGCTGCCAACGGGGTCTGCGCATGCGCAGCGCCCGCCCGCGGCCGTTGGAGCGGGGACGGACGGACACGCGCGCAGCCGCAGTAGCGCGGGGCAGCGCGCGCGCCCTCAGGGAGGAGACCCCTCACACACAGACACAGAGACACAGACAGACAGACAGACACGGCTCCTCACGGACCCCTCGGGCACCGGGTCCGCCTGCCGCCGAAAAGAATGAGTCAGGGTTGGAAGGCACCTTTTAAGATCGTCCAGTCCAACCGTCCACCCGGCGCTGCCACTGTAACCCCTAAACCACCAAACCACATCACCCAGCGCCAGATCCAGATGGCTTTTAAAAACACCTCTGATTTAGCGATTTTGGGGTTACGCTGGCAGTGTTGGGTGGGCAGTTGGGCTTGATGACCTCGAAGGTCTCTTCCAACCTCGACTATTCTGTGGTTCTAAAGCACATCACCCAACGCCGGATTCAGATGCCTCACCAGGGATGGTGACTCCACCGCCTCCCTGGGCAGCCCATTCCACTGCCTCACCACCTGAACAGTGAAAATATTTTTCCAGTATCTGGTCTGAATCTTCCCTGTCTCAGCTTAAGGCCATTTCCTCCGGTCCTCTCACTGCAGGGATGGCAGGAGAGACCGACCCCACCTCACCTCACCCTCCTGCCAGGAAGTTGCAGGGATTGATGGGTTGTCCCCTGAGCCTCCTCGAGACTAAACACCCCCAGCTCCCTCAGCTGCTCCTCAGCAGACTTGTTCTCTAATCCTTCCATGAGCCTTTTCCTTTATATTTTGCATTTAATAAATAAAAAGTTGTAACTGCATTTAATTCCAAAAATCACTGTCTCAAGGAAAACCTCTCCTTGCTCTTTGGTGGTTTTCGTTTTATATTTATCAGTGAATATTTATTGAATATCAATTGGGGGGGACGGGAGGAATAAACTACAATACAGTTGCTTTGGGTTTTGCCTGAAAAAAAAAAGTTTTCCTGTGGTTGTGCTTCCTTCCCAAGACAATAATTTTTGTTTTCCTCTTGCAATTTCTTTATCCTCCTTTGGGCCAAGGAGCTTTAGAGGTATTTGAAAATACAGCAGTAAAGGTAACGGTGATGGTTGTTTGGTTTGGCTGAGGTTGCAGTCAGCGCAGTGCAGGGTCTTGCTGAATAGCTCAGGCACCTGCGAAGGTGGCAAGAAAAGCTTTCAGGGGGAGTTCCTGTTGATTTCATGCTCAAGTACAAGGCTCAGAACCAAAGGTATGGAGTGCAGGACAGAAGTGGGTGCAAGACTTTGTGTGTATTATCAGATAGTGATTTTCGGTCCTATGTTATTCCTGATTTTCCAAGAACAAATGTGTTTTCCCTTCTTTAAAGGAACTTAAAAATAACATGGCCAGTAGCTTAATCCTCTTGCAGCACAGCATCTAAGAGTACTCTGGGGATGCTGCACCTCACAGGAATATTGAGTTCTTACATACTCAGTGTCAATGAGAGGCTCAGCAACACAGAGGAATTAACGAGTTTTAAAACAGCACATCCAGCTGACTTCATGTTTTGTCATCATGATGTTTTACAGCCAGAGATCCCAGGAGCGATGGTCACGTGCAGCAGTATCACAGATTTGGTTTGAATTCGGGCCAATTGGTTGCAGTGGACATAGGACAACACAAGGAGGTTCTCACTTTATGCTAAAATATTTTGGCTGTGTTGGCAAGGAGCCCACAGGCATTAACCACTGCAGGAGCTTTCAGAACTCCTCAGTGCTTTGGGCTTCATGAGCTCGTCACCCACAAACTCAATTATTTACTTTCTTCCATTTCAAGAGAACAAGAAATGTCATAATCAAGAATATAAAAGGACCAAAGCTACAAAGCAGAGCTTGTCATTTGTTCACAGACACAGTGATAACCCAGTTTCTTTATAGACTACAGACTTTTACAGAAACCACTCCTCTTTCATCAGAGACATGATCAGCTTTGTCAATTTTCTGCAGCCCAGCTGTAGTGTAGTCCAATTTACAGTGACTTCAGTGTGTGCAGCTACTTTTTTTAGTTAAAATGCTGGAATATAGAACCTCATTTATTTCCCACAAAGCAGTGCCTGATTAAAACAAACCTGCAAACATTTGTATGAGGTCTGTAAGAACAAACTAGGGGGAGCTAATTAAGAAAAGTAATTTTAGAAACAGGTTGAATACTCAAAAAAAAAAAAAAGTCTATGGCTGCTGTGTTTCTGCTACATAATTTAAGTACAATCCAAACAGATGCAGTCAGTCAAATCATGCCCTTTCTGCTGTCTTGGTTTAGGTACAAGATGTAGCTGAAGTTAAACAAGGTAAGACCCACCACTCTTGGCGGGAGCCAAGAGCAGACAAACAGCTCAACCAAAACCCAGCTACTCCCTCAAACATCTCTCACACTCCCTCTATTTGGACAGTGCTTCACACCTTATGAATAAAGGACGTGGGCACAGGATAAGATTCCAAGACAAGCACTGACAACTTGGCTTTGAGGAGATTCACAAAAAACTGATTGCAAGGGCTCAGGAGAGAGATCAAAACAACAACAAAACTGATTATGAATGGAAAGTGTCTTGGAAAAAGAGAACACAGAATGGCCATCCTGAAGCTTATCAGGAGGGAAACAACAAAAGAAACCAAGCCAACAAAACTAATAATTTTGTGAATAGCCTTTCAAATGTAGTTTAAAAATGATAATGAGTTATGTTGAGTGTCCTAGATGGAACCAAATATGGACATCAAAGGCCTGTGCCAAGGGAACTCGTATCCCTCAAGCTTTGAGCTCTACCCCAAAACACCACAGGCAAACAAATCTCATCTCTGCTTTAATTCTCCAACAGCAGCTCAGATTTAAGCTTTGGAATAATTCTCAGCCAAATATGTATTAGTTACTTAATTACATTTGCTTGGGTTTTGTACAACACTGTTGATCTTATTTCTTTTCATTCTCAAAGCAGCTACAAAATGTCCAGATGTTAAATCTAAAGTGGAGCAAAACAAGCCCCCATAAATCCCCTTCGAAAGAACAAATGTTGCCCATGGTGACTGAAACCCTAATTATTTTACTACTGATTATTTTAGCATAAAGATGTGTATAAGGTACAACATTCCTAATCCTGAAACAACTCTTTCATCTTCCACAGTTACAAAATGCAAAGGTTCCTCACTGTAATTCATATTAGTTGAGGTAAAAGCGCAGTGTCAGACAATGCTCCAGTACAGCAGCATTTTGGCTCAGCAGGGTTGTGCCCTGTGGTGTGTGTTCATGAGGACACTATTTTGGTGTTCGGTCACCTCAGTAGCTGCACGTGCCACACTTACACTGCTCTCCTGTTGTCCTGGAATAAATGCTCTGTTAATGCACAAACAGATGCTTCCCCCAAGCTAAGTTCAGGTTGATCTCTCCTTTTCTTCGTGTTGTACCCATAATCAGGGTCTCATGTCGCTTCATCTCACTACTTTTTTTATCTGTTTTATCCATGTAGGTGGCAAAGGTTGTGAGCAGGGGTGGTTTCTTTCTACAGGCTTATACAGCAGCCAGTATTACAGCATCCTGATATCTCCTAGGGCCTCTAGGTGCTATGTTATACAAGTATTTAGAGATAATATTTTCAATTATATGTACAGAAATCTACGTCTCAATTACTAGATTTCTTACCTGTACTATTTCTTACCACATGTACTGTGGTGTCTTGCAGAGTTAAGGCTCATACAAACAACTAATTCCTGCAGAATTCACAAACTAATTCTTAAATGAGATAAGCATTACAAATCAGTTATGCTACAACTAAAAAGACAAAATGCCAAC